GGTCTCTTCCCTCAGGCTTCCCAACCAACACCCGGTGCACAACTCTTGTCCCATCCATGCGTGCTACATGCCCCGCCCATCTCATTATGATAAATTGTATTAATTTAAACTTACTTTTTTAACAAACCTTGGCTCATGGCAAATCCTGATGCAAAGTAGGGATATTTGAATTGCTGGGGATCATTTGAGAAAGCAAAATGGTGAATAATAGTAGCTTCTCTGTCATGCAATGCATGGCCTATGAAGAGTTCCTAAAACAAAACAGAAATACAGCATAACAAACCAAATCATTCTGATGTTCCATCTGGGATTTTTGCGATGTTGATCTGTTAATAGTCTTCAAAACATCGTAATGAAAAAAGAGTGGAAAGAATTTACATTAGCAAAGTCTTTTTTGAGGCTAAAAGATTAATCAAGCAGTGTCCGATCTAATGACTGATTTTGTTTCAGAAAATTATTGAGTAATATACAGTAGGTTTATGCACAATATCAGAACTGTATGTAATGTAAAAGAATTTATAATAAAGTATCATAGCATTTCAATTGACTGTTCTCATTTATAACCTACTGGCCTACAAACTGAATGTGGTCCCAGGTCTGGAAAATGTTGAGAACACCTACACTTTAAGAGATACCATAGTAATTACATACTAAATACAAATAAGCAGTTAATAAATAAAAGAAAAATGTGTAACATTTATGTGCTGTGAAAATTACACCACATACGATGTAAACCACAAACTTAATCAGGCATACAAACTTCAAAATATATTTCATGAGAAATAATGCAATTCAGAAACATTTAAAATTAAAGACTCAAGGTACAAGTTACAAAAACACAGGGATATATAAACACACTTATTTGGAATCCAATGAATCAGGTAATTATCTTTATAAATAAGGTTCAAAGAAAACTTAAGCATACATAATTCCATGCAAGACTCAAAATATGCAATGCATATCTTAAATAATCAACACAGTTATGGAACAATAGAAGAAACACTAAAATAGATCAAGGCATAAAAGGAAATATAATGACTACTAAAGAAAATTGCCATACTTATTAACATTTAAAACAAGAAAATTTTACAGAACAGACATGCCAAGAATTCTATAGTTTATTTAAACTGGCAGCCATAGCTAAAAATAAGCACCAGCATATCACACACATGGCAAGCACTACTGTAAGCACAAGCATATCACACACATGGCAAGCACTACAATAAGCACGCAAGTCTTAGCAAATGCCTAGTGTATCTAGCACAACGCTACACTGAAATGTGGGTATGCAGAAACTAACTGGAGCTAATTCCATCTTGAGAAATTTATTGAAAGTATGCTCAGCTGGTCAAGAAATTCCCCATCTTTTATGGAAGTTAAAGGTTCATTACCGGGTATGTAGGAACTAGAAAGATTAAATGCTGCAAATGGAACATGAACTCGTTAAATTATATAACTGCAGATGGACACACTGATTGGGGTAGCTAAGGGAGGTAACATTAAAAATAAAAAAATAACATGGATAATAATAGTGTCACTTACATTTAAATTATTACTTTCTATTGTAGGCAAAAAGTTATTGTGCCTGTAGCCGCAGTTCCGATGCCTTTTCACTGTTATCACGCTTCGCCCTTGGGTAGACAATTGCATGTCTTCGAGACAATTCGCAAGTTTCCGGCAACTTCATATGGAAGTCCATGGGCAACGTCATCAGTACGTGTCCACAATTACGTAGTATGCTGCCTAAGCGAGAGAGTCCAAATTACCAGACTGTGTGTACTAGCTTCAGAAGTTCCTGAACGACCCTACCAGAAACGTTTAATTGATTAAGTGAGAAAATTCCCTCAAGTGAGGCAGAAAATTCTATGTTGCTGGCATGTCTGGATAATTTCTCTATATTTGTTTGGTCAATTCCTGTTAGCCATGAGGTTGGCTACAATAATGGCCCTTAGACATTAAGAGTTCTCCACTCCATGCTTCCAATCATAATCATCTTCGAAAAAGTGTTTCATCTCTCAGGGGTTCAAACAGTTGTGTTTTGGGCTGGGTACTAAACAGGTTACCACCACTCCTTACTACCTGCAGCCTTCGCACGCCCAGATGCTCAACTGTGCGTGATTTGCGTTCTGCCCTTATTGCTTATTATAGTGATTCACAGATGTCCTGGGACAAGGACTTGATGATTTTGCAGTCACCTTTCTCCAGCTAGGAATGAATTAACCTGTGCTTGATGATTTTGCAGTCACCTTTCTCCACCTAGGAATGAAATAACCTGTGACAGGGAAATGGCTGGGCTTTGCTAGGAGTGAAATGGCCGATCAGACAAGGAATGAGGAGAAGATGTAAGGTGGAATTCATAGCCAAGCGATAGGGTTCAGGGAGGGCACTTTCAGAACCTAAAGTTGGACAAGGCAGGCCTGATAATCTCCAGAAAGAATGAACTTCCTTCAGAACCTCTTATTGTTCAATAGCTAAAGCAAATGGAATATTCTCTGGGCTCTCACCATCTAAAAGACTCCCACTGCCATGTAAAAATACTACTTTGGTGCCATACTCAAATCCTTTGTTGGCACCACCTTCACTGCACCTGCAGTTTATTGTCTAAACATATCAATACGGTGGGCCTCCAGTCAACGAAGCTCTCTGAGTCTGGATAGCATCATAACCTAAAAGAACAACACGATCTTCACTGTCATGAGAACCTAAAATATCACAAATTAAAAGGAGATTAAATTAAGAAAATGTATGCTACCTTTCAGTTCAGAATTATTTGTCTTCCCATTTATTTATTATCCAAAAGCATGAGGATTAAAAAAACATACAAAACTGTAACTTTATTTAACGCTTTATAAATTATATGAAACTTGGTGTATACCCTGAGGGAAGAACATACAATTTTTGCGAATTAAATGTTGTTTATATGTGAAATCACGTGGCAGGAACTTAACAGAAGGCTGGAGAAAATTGCATCATAAAGAGTTTTATAAGTTTGTGCTCTTGACCAAATATTATTAGGATAGTCAAATTAAAGAAACTGAGATGAACATGGCACATAGCATGCATGTGACAGACAGAAATATACACAAACCTCAGTTGTAAAACCTGAAGAGAAAATATCATTTCAGAAACCTAGACATAGGTGGCAGCATAATACTAAAATATATTTTAAACAAATATTGTGTGAGGGTGTGGATTGAATTTATCAGGTTAAGGGTTGGCAACAGTGGCATGCTCTTATGGATATCGTAATAAACATCCAGGTTCCAATAAAAGGCAATAGATTACTTGACTAGCTGAGTGACTATCATCTTCTCAAGAATGATTCTCCTCAGAATGAGTGAGTTTCTTAGATAGTCTCGCCAACTGAAATGTGCCCTAAATACGTCTATAAATTTCATCCCTTCAAATCATTACATTATCAAAAATGCTTTTCAAGTAGTTAATCTCAATGCATGTGCTCCAGACCAATCTTCATTTAGTGTAAAGAAATAAAATAAAAAATATGTTAATGTTGAACGCTGCATACGCTAACACACGTGTATTGTGGTTACCTGTGTAGCACTGTATTTATTAAGAAGTTCCACCATCCTAAGTAAGTCAATTCTGGTGTGACTTTCACAGAAGACAAGCCACGAACTGTTGGACCCATGTAAAGAAAACAATCTAAAACAAAAATATGAGTCAAATAATTCCAAAGTCATTACCTACACTCACATTTCCCTTATGCTGCAGAAGAAAGTGTATTGGATACACAGTGATGAATGAGATGACTGATTTCTAGGTTAAGTAGTAACAATGTTTTCAACTGCAGTGTAGATGAGTAACAGCTTCTTAAGTCAACAGCAATTATATTTAACTTACGCCCTCCTTACCAAGCACCAATGATGTATATCAAATCTAAAACTTCTTGACGATGGTGAAGAGTCAATTGAATA